TCCACTTAATCCTTTCGCGACGGCAGCATCGCCACTACGTTATCACTATTCGAAAGAGTTCATCGCGACGCGCGGATCCGCTACCGTTAGGAGTGTGAATTTGTACACTGTAAAGCGCATGGGACAGTTTTGTGAACGATCACTATAGTGGCCATTCACTTGAAAAAGAACAAATATTTTACAATGCATACACGGAGAGAATTTTCTTTTAAAATTTACCTTGAAAATATGACATTAGTCATCAGACATTAGTTGGTAGTTGTGGTACAATACAATATTTTAAAGATTTTTACCTTCATGCACTTCAGTAAAATTGATCAAACTTATTTTATACTTCATTGTAGTTTTATTAATGAATGAAGAGATTTACGTTAAAATTCTTCGAGATACAATGTTGTCCCACGATTGTCATATTTTCTCAGGGTAAATTCTAAGAAAAAATTCTCTCCGTGTACCTGACTAATGGTTCAATCCACTTGTCGCTACAAATGTTTCAAAGCTTTTGATTGTTCAATCAAAAAATTCTTCGAAGAATTCGTAGCATCAAATGGACCGTAGCTAAATATTTTATAACATTTTTTTTCAGTTTAAATGAGAAATTGTTTTGTTATTGTGTCGTTTCTTAAATTCTTTCTTTTGTCTGAATCTATTGTTTTCGAAATTTTTAGAAATCGGAAGATTCTAACGTACCTGTATTTCTTTTGTTGTTTGTTTTCTTTTAGATTTAGATTTTTCCAAATCGACATAACATAGGTCGGTATTTATAATCCGGTATTTATAATTCTTATATTTCAAGACCGTCTTAAATAACAACTTGAGATACTAATACGGTTCTGCGATTGGTTCATAACATCTTAAAACTGCACTTAAGGCGGTCTTAAACGTATGAACCGACCATATATACCTAAATTGAATTTTATAATTTATATAATTTACGTAATTTTTGTGATGATTTAATTTTTGTAAATAATTTAAAATTGAACACGATAGCATAAAAAATAATTTTGACTGCTTATGATTCAGAATACAATGCAAGAAGTTTGTAATAAGACAGAAATTTCTATAATCGAAAAACCGTAATGATACAGTCTAAGAATTATCGTATAAATGTTTTGCAACAATCGAGTTCGAAAATTTATAAATTCGTCAGTCATACATGATCATTAATTCGCGGACAGATGTGAATATTTGAACAAAATGATGACTTCGTAGCATGACAAAAAGCGATTTAAAATCGCTGTATGAATATCTTTTCTCAACACCTGGTCGGGAGAATCCTGCATTCTGTCATAAAATTATAAGAACGTTTTTGAAAACGACGAAGAGATTTCTCTCATCGGTCCTTTTTTCTTCTTTGGATCCATTCTTTGGATTCGTTGTCTCGTTTTCTCCTTTTGATCCATTTGCTCTTTCCAAATCGACTGAATACACCCCTCTTCGATCAATCCCTCCTCTTCCGAATAATAATCCTTCGTCTTCTCGATTATGCCTGACTAGGAACAGAAACTTCGAGTCACGTATCTATCATAATTCATAATTATCCGAGAGGGTATTTATTGTGCTTAGCGGATGGATCAAAGATATCTCGATCTTTTCTCACCAAAAATTATTCAACATGGATTGATACTGCGCATCATCATCATTATTTTATTATTTTTCTTGAGATGCGTTTGGGATGAGCACTATCAAAATACTTTTCACATGTTTTGCTTTGACATTTTCCGCTCTATCTTATATTAATCCCGATGTACAATAACGATATAGTCTCAACTAATATTAAAATGTGATTCTCTTTACTAATTTATGATGTGCAATTGCAAAATAAAAACCAGTAGTGCAAACTATTTTTTATTAATATGAATTCTTTAATATGTTTTATACTTATGTATTTTATTTATTTTATTAATGTTTTAAAAGTAATGTTGCATCATAAGATATTAATCAGATTACATTTTTCTTCATAATATTTGTTATAAAACGATTTAATAATGATAATATATATAGATAAACTAACAATAGAATTTATGAGAAATTTGAAAACTGGAAACCATCAAACTATTAAAAATAAAAGAAGAATCCTATTTTCATTTGAAATAGATCTTGATACTTAATAATATTCATATGAAAATTACAGATACATTTTTTAATTCTATATAAACTGCACGTCGATTCGATTTGTCGGACTCTGATTAGTTACTGGTTATTGCAATAAATATCTTCACATGTCTCCGTGGTCAAATTGGTAAGACACTTGTCTCGGAAAATCGAAAATGCCAGGTTCAAATCCTGGCTAAAGTGATATTTTTCGCAATAAATTCTTTGTTTAATCATTATTAAAATTAACAGTCAATGTAATTTACAATATTATTTCTAGCTTCAATTTGTGATTGCGTTTTCAACAAACCGAATCAGCACGCAGTTTATAAAACTGAGAGAGAGAGAGAGAGAAATATATTTATAATTAATAATAAGATTGAAAGACCGCTAATGTTAAACATAATACTTTTAAATTGAGAAGCGCCATAACGGTCAGAATGTTAAGATGTTGAACTATTGTAAATTCATTTAAATGAATTAATTTCAGAAATGATAATTGCGTGCCGATATGGTTGTCGGACTTTCAACGCAATCAAATCTGAAAATATTAATAATCCCCCCAAATTTCCCAACTTAAAAACTGTAATAAACTTATTGCGAAAAATAATGCCTCAATATTTATAATTCCTTTGGAAAATGATTAAACGTTAAGATAAATGACTTTCCTTCGTTTCATTCGGTCTTGGGACAATAAAATTACATCTCCTGTTTACACATTTATATATTTACATTTATACACACACATATGCACACATATGCACGCATGAACACTGATTTTTTTCTTTTCACTTTTTTCTTCTCATTTTTATACTCGAAGTCACTATTTCCAGTCGACATTCCAGTTGGAAATGATAATTTAAAAATTTGAGCGGTTCTAATATATTTTTTATATGTATTGGAAATTCAAATACCATATTACGAGAACATAAGCGTAACTTCTTATCATTCTTGAACTAATTTTGCACTGGCAGTAATGCAAATATTTGATATGCATTATATCTTGTCATCGAAGTCGATTAGAATAAATATTAGATATTGCTTATTCTTAATTCTCATACATAATGGTGTTTCGGTCCTTTACTGTGTATACAATGGTTCTATATTATACCTATATACGATGGTCCTTTACTGCATATACGATAAGTTTGTATATTTACTGTATATATGAGATGTTTGTGTTTCAGATTAATTTTTATTTTTACATGTATGCAAAAATTATTAAACGATTATTATATGTACTTTACATTTTGAGGAAAGTTTATGAAGTTATAAAGTTGTATATTTAAAAAACAAGGAAAGAATAAAAACCGATTATTTATTCAAATAATCTTAGTATTTTAAAGAAAAGAAATGTACATGAAAAAGGACATGACTGATTTAATCATTGTGTATTAATATGTCTGGATCTCATTTTTTCTCTAACAAACAATAGAGTTTGAATAATAATTAACAATAACCAAACGAAATCCCTCAAAAGTTGTATCCTTTTTTAATATAATATATTATTGTTATTAATAAGTATTATATATATTTTAATTATTACTTTTTTTATTGTCTTCTGATTTCCTAATTCTTTTATTAATAACATAGCTGCACGTTTATAGTACGATTTATAACATTTATGCGATTAGAGCAGCAGGATTTTTTAGGATGACAGATTGTGATGATTTGGATTATATATATTCAACGAACCTGTTACGCGAAGCATTTGATCGTTTTTATTATACAAGGTATTTGAACTGAAAACGATGCTTGTATCTTAATATTAAGCTATATATATACGAAGCGAAGCGAACTCCATTTTAGTCCAAGAATCAATGCCCAATATAGTGTTTCTTAAACTTCACACACATATTGCCTCCTAATCAAGAGACTTATCTCAAACTTTATCACCATTTTAGAAAAACATTAGCGATTAGCACAAGTCTTGTTATATCTGCGAATGCGCAGAACACTTTTCACATTTATTATATCGGACTTGGTGTCTCGTCGGAAGGAAATCAAAGAGAGAAGGAGAAAGAACGCCGATGAATTCTTCCGGTCTCGCGACACAGTCTGCGATGTCGTCGGCGTCTCTCGCGCCGGTCGGAAATCCTGGATCTTGGTCCTGGTCCCTGGTCCGGGCCAGTACGATAGATGATACGTCCGGACGCGTGAAACGGCGACAGAGCGAGCGAGACAGGAAAAACCGGGGCTCTCCTCCCGTCTCCGACGAGAAGAGGAAAGTTTGCCGGGAAGATAGCCGGGAAGTTGCAGGCTGGCAGGAGAGAGCAGCCGACGCAACGCGCGCGCGACCACGGCCAACTCGCGCCTCTTCCCTTCCCCCCACTATCAAACGCTACTAGTAGCATCGTTCTCGTTCGCGGCTTCTGCGCTGTCGCAATCCGAATGCCGTCTTCAGGGTTCTCCTGTCGGACGCGATACTCATAGTTTTGCTGATAGTAGAGAGAGAGAGAGAGACGTAATATAGTAGAGGTAGTGGTGGTAATCATGGGTGGTGGGTGGGGATTGGTAGTGGGGAAAGTAGCAACGATAAGAAATGTGGTGGTGGCGAAAGATGCCACACGGCAGCCGTTGCAGCATGTTAACAGTATATGGAGGGGATAGTCTGGCTCACTGTTTGCAACGGTTAGGACAAGTAGTTCGAGCGGCGGGAGAGCTTCTGCTACCCCACCACATCGTTGCACAGCATCCAGACGCGCAAGCTATGCCCGCCCCCCATCGACCACCATTTGCCGTCCTAAAGAACCTCTGGCGCGCAACTCGCGCAAGTCGCATACAGAGGGGGAAAAGCCTGCGATAATATACTGGTGGAGATGGTCATTAGGTTCGTGGTGGGATAGTAGCAGGAGCATGCTCGCTTCCTGGAGGGGTCGGTGAAACCGCCGGAGGGGCGGGGAATACCGACCAGTTCGGCAGCGCGAGCCGACGTGGGCACTTCGCTCTGTCCGGCCTTTCCTTCATTAAAATATTATATCCGTGCGTGTAGAGAGAGGCGAGAGTTGCGGAGCCGGGGCAGAGGAACTCTTTCTGCCGCCGTTATTCCGTGCGAGTGTCCTAAGCCTTTAGATTACCGAGTAGTTGCCGCCGTTATCGCCACAACAACGCATTTTCGCCACTCCCTTGTCAAGGACCATCGCACGCTCGTTCGCTGAGGGGCAGTTCTTCGCGCGGATGTAGTAGTGGAAACGGATGGTTCTATATCACTCCCTAAACGTCACCTAGATCTAAAAAGTTCCTCTGACTCGTGTGGACGTAGGGTCATTTTTTTTTCTCGTTCGTATTACTGTGACCGAAGAAATTGAAGAAGCCTGGTAACATTGTGTCTCAAAAAGGCGGAAATCTATTAAAAAGAACAAAGGACAAGGAATACAAGGGATGATAGAAATGCAAATTGCCATTGGAAGACAAAAGATAGAAAAGTTATATGATCCTCACGCAAAAAATATCCTTTAAGTTAGAAAAGAAAGAACAAGAGATATTAATTCTTTGGCTAATTACGGACTATATTGAAATATTGAAAAAAAAAAGAAGAAAAGACTTCTCGAATGTAATTGGAAAAGCAGTAACAGGGTACAAGAACAGATATGTACACATAGTCGTCAGTCGTGAACAAGTTGATGGGTTGAGTTCCGGAAGACACTAGTCACGAAGGATCTGGGGGACCATGGAGTTGCCGGGTTGGTCTAATGTTTTTAATGACTGTCAACTATTAACGGAATAAACCACTCTTCACTAAAGTGAATCTCTCTCGCAGAGAGATCACTTTGTGCGAAATACAAGTCAAAAAAACGACTGCCCGGTGAATATCCTGCGTCCAATCCAGTTGAAGGGTCAAAATAAGGCATGTCGCAGCATACGTCAGTCAGGAGGTATCGCATGATGTGCCACGTAGATCCACTGGTGTTCGGATGGTGAACTCGCTCATCGACTCGCGAACGGCTCCAAAGACTGTTTGCCCCGAAGATTGTGCTCCAATATCATTTCTCTCTACGTTCCTATCTTCCTCCGTCCGTGGTTCCTCAATCCGTGCAGGATATCTCAGACAGCCACTCTGTCACCGAGTCACTACTGCCACTTTTCGCGCAGGATACCTAGTGGAAACTCGATTAAAAGTGGAAAGTGCGGGACATTGTTTGTCAAGAAATTGCAAGAAGAATCGGAGAAAAAGATTTGTGCTTCAAGAAAGTACAGTGAGAGTCCAAGGGTGCGAGTGCTACTGCCAGCTTAAAGGAAAATCGAGAGCTACCGGGATATGAACCCAGGTACGTGAAAAGTCGTTCTTCATGGTGTTATCATCGCCGTGGTGAAGCGCAGTAGTGGCCAAAGTAATGATCGAAAATCTCTTTCACCGCCGTTTTGCGAGAATTCAGTGAAGTTTGGTTTCACGATCGGTGCATGTATGACGAGGTGTTCTTGAGTGATGGGGTGCTTTCTTTCTCGTGATGGTTTCAATATCAAATTTAGTGAATCTGCGTAATAAGCGTAGTCCTACATGTCACTATCCGGTGTCGTGTAATTCTCTCGAAATGCAAAATGAATAGTCCCTTTATTCATATGATGGCAAATCAAAATAAGGATCTACTGGATAGCTAAGTCTAAGAAAATATGACGAAAAATAATGAAGCCTTAACCAATGAGGGCGAGCTTCAATAATCGATTAGTGCAGCAGACAATTTTTAGAACAGATTTATTACCTCCAATTTAGACACAAAAGTGTCTGTATAAAGACTCGAAAGTCATTTAACAATTCGTTCAAGTCCGAAAAAGTGTCAACTATTACGTTTATACAATCTCAAATTACGGTAACTCTGTTATATGTACCCTAATGTGACCATTGCTCCTTTAAAAACAGAAAGAGAGTAAGCAGAAGTTTAGAGAGATTCATATGTCAAACATCTTGGATTTAGGCGTGACTCGGTGATGTCGATGCGAGGTCGGCCAGTGCGTTCTCATATGAATACAAAAAACTTTTTTTATCTCATGCTGATACTGCAAAAGGTTTTCTGGGAAATTAATCGACAGTTTTTCGTAACGTACGAGGTGTTGTGCAGAATTTTGGAAGAAGTACTTAGAAACACGTCCGATTGTAAAAAGGAAATTGTCTAAAGTCCGATTGTCTAAAGGAAAAAAGTAATTTCTCCCCCTCTCCACTCCAATACATTTGTATATGTATTTATATATATATTTGAAGACATACAGTGTATGACTCGTTTAAATCATTCTCGGTATATACTATGATTCCTCTTGGACATTGCATTCTGTTTGCTCGTGTTCTGCATGAGGGCAGACAATAAAATTTTTTATCTGTCTTTGAAAATGTTTTCTTTTTCTTCTTTATCCCAATTCAGCCGCTGTAATCGGATTGTAGTTACGAAGCTTCCACACGTTGCAAGTAGCAAGCTTTTGCTAAAAATTTAGGAATAATATCGTTTTGCATCATCTTAGTTTAGTGTGTTAGGATTTCGTCTTTATGCTCCTAATTAGACATCAATGCTAATAAACCTCAATTATATTCCATTCAGGAAGATTTATCTTAGGTATCAATCATTGACAGCAAATCGATTGCTTCGCGAAGATAAATGAAAAAATTATTTAACCGTGACAGAAGCTCTCAGATAGCGAAAACCAGAAGCCACTACAAACTCGAAACTTTTTTCAAGCAAGTGAAAAATGTGTTATCGGTGTTTAGTGTTTGTCGTTTATGTTTGACACCTCGCATAACGTAATGCTCAATAACGCTGCGGGAGCCGTACATTTAAGTGTGGAAAATAGTGGGATTCGACTATACATGAAAACATCATCGATTTGAGATCCGTGTAGCAAGAGTCGAGAGGAAATACGTGCGACACGACAGATTTTGATACCTGCGTTAGATAAGAGAAACCGGTGTCAAGGAACGTCTGTTAGCGTCACATACTAGCTCTATTTAGATATCGCGTTTTTGTTTACTTTCATTTTCGGGGAAAGTATCTTTTGATATATTTATCAAAAACATCAGTCATGTGAAGCAGGGATCCGGACCGAATCGAAATCGGAACCGAATACCGTTTCGGAACCCTTATTTTAATGAACCGAAACCGAAACCGTACCTAAATTTGTAAAGTTTTTAATATCGAAACTGTAAACGAACTGATAAAATTGTACGGTTTTTTCGGTTCTTAATTTTTGATTTTTATCCTTGTTCTTGATCTTTGGTTCTTCGTCGAAATCAACACCAAATCAGTGCGCTTGTGACTTTCAACATCCCTACATTGTGGGACATATTCTTCCGATTGAACGAAGTTATAAATGGGTTTTTTTGATGACCGAATAAAATTCGATTTCTAACTGACAAGTTTTGACTGCTGCGTGAATTGTTAAAATTTATAGACGACATCACAAGGGAAATATTAGGACATTGCCAGAATTTAAAACTAGATTTTTCCCTTCGCAGGTAGTGCTTTTCTTATTTTCTTATTTGTGAGCTACAACCTTTTTAACACTTATATATTTTGTTTACATATCTTACTCTTCGGGTTGGGATATACATCCAAATGGTGTATTATGTTCATTTGAATACAGATTAACACAGAAGATTAATACAGAAATGCTGAATACAGAAAAGTATCAAAATAAAGTTAAACATTAATGACTGTTTTTAATGAAATTAGATATATTTAATGGATACAAAAGAAAAATTTTTGCAATGTGATGTAGCATTACGTAAATAGGCAAGAATTGACAAAATTGAATGAACATCGAATTAAATTCCATTATTTGCACATTCCTATTATGTTCAATGTTGAATTTATAAAATATATTGTGACATATTAACTATCTCTCAAATAATGACTCAATATATTTCAGTGCGTATCTGTGATAGTCATCGAATATTTCAACAACTCTAATTTTCGTGACAAGTTTCTGATTATTCAACTACTTCGCATGTGACTACTTCCGCTCATCTTCAAAGTTATTGTGAAAAGGTCTTATTAATAGAGAGATCGATCATAGGGAGAAAAAAGTTCGTATATATTTAGCATTATGATATCTCTTCAAGATTTATCACGCAAACACAACCCAAGCTTAAATTAATCGCTACCAGCGAGAACAAGTGCTTTTCCGGGCCTACTACTGGCGATTAATAGGATCGGCACAGGCATGAGATTTTTCGAGAAGAGGAAAAAGGAAAAAGGAGAAGGGGAAAAGGCGAGAAAGGGAATTCACCATTGGGGTCAACGGTGTCGCATTGCCGATACTTCTCGTGCGTAAGTCACCGCGATTTATTCCCGCGCCTACTATCATAGGTACTGCAATGGTTTGCCGACGACTAATTAAACGCGATTGATATACACGAGAAGTTTGCGTTGCTAGCAAGCGTAATTGCCGCCGCCGGAGGCATGGAATGAAAATTACGAAAGGCAGAGAAATGTGCGGGGGGGATTTATCCCTGACTGTGTTTTTTTCCGTTCCCCATGATTACGATTCCGCGATTGTGAGAAAATCGTGACGTGGCACGAGCAAAGAAGAGAGGGAGAGACGAGCAGCAGATTATTGATTGTAATTAATAGTCGCACGCGGTCGGAATTATTCGTTGTTAATCGGCGACAGTTACGGTGAGGCGCAACGAATGCGCGCTATTAAGAGCGATATTTCACGATGGCGTCCAATCGCGCCTTACAAGCTCCACTTATGAAACTGATCCCGAGACATCCGCGATGGTGATGTACAACATTACGATTACGAACGTTTGCCTAATTGCGATCACCTTGTCTCGCCTATTGGCAGCGATATGTTTACCGCGGCGAACGACGGAGGGATAAGCTAAACAGAATTAGCTACCTGCTAATTCTGTTATACGTCATAGACAAATGTGTTTTAAAGTAAACGACTGCTTTAATGTATCGTGGAATAAAAATATTTTACAGAACGCTACTTAGGTGTCGACGACGGTACAGATCCATGAAAGGATGAACGACGTGTATTTTAGTGTGTCGCAATTATAAATTTTATTCCTAGCAAATAAGCCATCTATTTTATTTTTTTTACAATTAATGATATATATTTCACAGAAATATTTCATCATCGCAATCAAATTTTTGTATAACTAATAAATATCAAAGAAAATGTCGTAAATAACATTTTTTTTCACAATACTGCGATATTTTTCGCTCAATGTAAAAAGGACATGATTATTAAAAAGTAAACAAATTTAGAATCTTATTTTTTACACAAGAAATATAATATTAATCTAAAAAATACGAGCAATAATGATCATTCGATATCTGCTTTTAACTTTTAAGATGTCATCCGGATTTTGAGATCTATGCTGTCTAGGTTTTGTCAAAATTTGGACCGAACTTACCTATTTTATAATAATTAATGACTTTACTTCTAATTCCCATTCGCCGATAGATGGGAGATTTGAAATATTTAGAAACATTAGTTGACTTGAAACATTAATGGCTTTTAATTTCCGTCGAAAGATGGGAGATTTGGAACATTTAGGCGGGAAAGTAATTTTCTCTGAAAGAAAGGTGCAACGGTTTGTAGATATTTCATAGTGCGTGTGTCCGGTTTTCTAATATTGCTGTAATTTGTTTGGCCGGCCGAGGCGAGGAAGAGAAGGAAAAGGGAAAGGGGTAAATAGTTCCCCCGGGGCTAATTAATTACGACAACGTGAACGTGTGGGGAGCACTCGCTCACTCGCTTTCTCTATTTCTAATTAGACCGAGTGAACCTAAACGAGCACATGCCGGGTACTTTTTTTTTATATTCATCCGCGGTTTCGCGATGTCGATTATTTCGCAAATACATTAATCATCGCTCTCTCGCGAAATCGTCGACGCTGGCGATTGCTGATAGAAATAGCCTCATGTGATATAAATAAATAACGCGCGCTGGAAAAATAACTCGCGTTATCCTGTGTTCCATTATTTAATTGATTTTTATCGAGCAAAACCTCTCTGAAAAAATGATTCATCCATCTTGCGACTTTGCAGTGTAAGATCATATGATCGTTCATTATTAACATACATTATTAATAATGCGACGTTAACAGCTCCTAAGCGCATCTCATTGTGAGCAAGTACAACCGGACAAAAAAATGTGATTGAGATTAAGTGACTCGTTTCGTCGGAGCGGCGCCCGTCTCAAAGTCGAATCCGCGAAAGGCGTTTAACAGTCAGCCGTTCTTACGACGATAAATCATTAGCGATTGGTGGACGGAATATCATCGTGCGGCGCGTTATCGCGGGGGCTTTGCGGGGACTCTCGCGGAAGA